CACTTCACCAATTTCTATGTCTTAAATGTGGGCGGGCAGATAGCCGGACCAAATGACAGGGTTGTCCGCCGAATACAATGCAGTTGTTTTGCGACAGCAACAAATTTAGTTTCTTATCTGTACAATAACTACTGCAGCTTTTTCTAGATCTTACCTTGTCCCGTACTTGACCAATTTATATTTCTCCAATTTGGACAGGTATCCTGACAAAGCCAGATTTGGTGGACAAGGGCACAGAGGAGACAGTTGTGCAAATCATCCACAATAATGTCATTCCCCTTGCAAAGGGCTACATGATTGTCAAGTGCAGGGGACAGAAGGATATTATAGACAACGTGTCACTTACTGAAGCCTTTGACAAAGAAAAAGCTTTTTTTGAAGGACACAGCCATTTCGGGTAATATTGTCTTTTTAATGTTTTGATTGATTTTTTTTAACAAAAAGCATTACAAATAAGTGTCTTATTGATATTTTGTGATACTTTCTATAGCATCCTCTATGAGGAAGGCTATGCCAGCATTCAAAATCTGGCTAAAAAGCTGACTCTAGAGCTTGTGCAGCACATTGAGGTAAAGATTCAGCATCACCTGGGCAAAGACACCTTGCAATACACTGATTGCACTGATATATCATTAGTCTTTAAGGTTCTAAGTAGACATTGAAGGAGCACTTTTCGCATCCCACTGCAAGAGGCCCCAATGCATGAACATATCATATCATCATTTTTTTTTTCAGAAATCCCTGCCCCAACTAAAGAACCAGATTGATAGAAAAATAGCTAAAATTAAGACAGAGCTGAAGAAGTATGGAAATGGACCTCCGACAGATGCTGAAGAAAGGAAGGTCTTTTTGACTGATGTGAGTAACACATTATATGAACAGATCTATAGCTTCAAACTTAAGCAAACAGTTGTGTTTTGGAGAAATCTCATCTCAGTAAAATTCTTTATTTAACTGCTTTTTGAATGGTGTTGAAATCCAATCTTGGTTTTTGAGTGTTTAATCAATGATACAATCTGCAAAAATATCAGCGCTAATTACACCATTAACTCTACATTTCAAACAAACAGATATTGAATAAATTCACAGAAGACATTAAAAACCTGAGCACTGGAGAAGAACTGAAGAATGGAAATCTGTTATTCATGCTGAGAGCAGTATTTAGAGATTGGAAGGAATTCATTGACTGTTCTGGGTTAAAATGTGAGTACAGAATGCACTTATTAGTTCTGAGATCCTCGTACAATTGCTAGACATTTCACTCAAGGCACCAACTGAATATGCAACATTAACTTATAATTAGGGCTGGGAAATTTTATTGCGTTAACGTGTTGCTTTCATTTATTTCAACATGATATTTATTTGGTCAACCTATTTTGTTACCTAAAAGGGAGAATAGTATGAGCATGGATTTTAATAGAGACTTATAATATTCCTTTCTGTTTAAAGTAACGTGAGAGTTTATGTTGCTACAGTATGTTGCACAGAATCCCAAATTTCAGTGCTATAATCGAAACATTCTTTAGGCTCTCATTGGGTAACTAGTTTATTTTGTTTTAAAAATATTATTAGGATAAAAATTTCTATCTTAATGTTATAAAGTGGACTTTCCATGATTGTCAGGCTTCTGTTTTTTGAGCCATTTACCAAATGGGTTTAAGATTTTAGCTCAATCACATGGTTGTGATGTAATAGTGTTTCGATCTGCCTGTTGAATACATGCCGGTGTATGTGGTATTCGCCATTAATCGCCATAGTGTTTTTATTAAAAAACGTTTAACCTCCCTTCTTATAATAGAAAGCCCTCTGCTTTAATTCCCATTTGTTCATCGAGCCTTTTTGGAAACACAGGAATTCAGCCTGTATTTGCTTGCAAGTATCATTTTTGTTGTAAATGAATAATCTGTACATCACAAGTTTAACATATAAAGGAAAATTGAAGCATGGGTCATTCTCACAAACTTTTTTTGAAAAAAGTGTTATAGTGTTTAAGTTTAATAATACTATTCCATTTTGTTTCTTTGATTTGATGATTTTTAAACATTTTCCATAAAAAGGTAGCCAAAAACCAGTAACAAAATTACATTAAATATTTTTTAAATCTTTCAACTTTATTGCATATAACCCACAATAAACAATTAATTTATGTAATGATAAGCATATATATTTGCCCAATTTTTGTTAGTTATGTCATTTTTTCACTTATTTCAGTAACATCTGCCCTAATACTTTTATTACAAAAATAAATGGTGACATAACAAAACCGATTATCTACACCAGAGGCAAAATTGACAGTTGAGACAATAAAGTTGTATTATTTGAGTCTGTTTTCAAAGTAAATAAAAAAATAGAGAAAACTAATGTTATGGTAATGAATTAGTGACAATGACCCATCTACTTCCCTTTGTGTTAACTGTACAATGATTTAGTGGTTCAAA